CTGTCTACGCAGCATTGCACGAATCTGGTGGGGTAGCCAGATGAGCAATGCTGAGGTTAGGCGCAGAGTTTTGGGTATCCGCGGTCACCCACTAGAGCAAGTGGCCGACCTCCATAGATTACGTTGGTTGGGACGTGTTACGCATGTCACCAGATAGGTTACCACGGCGAGCTATGTTTGCCGAGGCAGGTAGTGGGTGGAAGAAAGTCAAGAGAGGTTAAGCTAAGACCTGGCATGAGGGTATGCAAATCCTGACCGGGAGACTTGGAGACATAAGTCCCGTTAGGCTCCCTGGCTGAGGACCTCAGGATGATCGTCACCGATGGTTGGAGACACTAAGTGATATAGCTGTGTCGTAAACAGTGGTGTTCGTGCATCTTCTCAGTTTCTTTGCAACNCTTTGCAACATTAATCCAATGAACTTTCCAATTTTCTGTTCGATTTTACTTTCAACTTTGCTGTCTTTCTCCTACGGTTCATCCAAATGGGCAACCAAAACCGGCGCACAAAAGTGCATGCTTAGTGAATATTTGAACTCGAACTCAAAGTGAACTGATTAATAAAGTGCTCACAATTTTGTACGAATTGTAATGCACCGGAATTCCTCGTGTCAGGTTCGATTTTCCCCGTCGTTATCATGGCTTGTGCCAGTTCTGTTCAAAATGTCTGGCTAGCTGAGCATAAAAAATACGCTAATTTTCGTTGCATCTGCAGATTCGGGTAGTGCTGGTGGTGGTGGTAATGAAGCGCTTCCGATCCTTGTCGTCCGGCAGAATACCACGCCTAAATTAGCTGGGTTTTATGTTCTTTGCGACCATAAGTTCTCAGGACTTATGAAAGCGGTTGTCATAGACGAGTGGTATGTCCCCATAACTAGACAGTTTACCCCATCTTAATAAAAGATGAAGTTTTTATCTTGCGTCAACATGGTTTCGTTTTATGAATTCTGAATATCTGACAACAGATATCCAACCTTTCATGGACTCTGTTGTTAAGGCCACAGAACTGAAGTCTTCACGGAATAACGAAGCTTGCATGTTTTCACTCATCAGAAAAAGAAAGAAGTCGAGATTTTAAGATTAGTAACCTATTTCATCATCTCTAGTCCATGGGGGTTTCTTAGTATTTCCTTTATCCTTCAGAATGAATAATGTCATAGAGAATATTTTATCATTTTATTGCAGGTGAAATGGAGTTCCTTGCAGGTAATTAAGTTGGTAACCTGTAACATATCGATAGTCTTTGCCTGCCCAAAGCATGTTCTTGTTGAATAGAAACCGTACTGAGTCGCTTGGTGGTTGATCTCCGACTGAGCATGCATTTTAATGCCCGAGGGCAACATTTTTTGGATTGCAGAATCCTAGTCTCACGACTACCCTAGGTCAGTTTATTCAAGGTCTTTATTGACCCCTTTATTGGAATGACGATTGTTATGCGATAGAGAGGAGACAATGTCACATGTTAAACAAATCGCGTTTTCGCGAATCAAAGATATATATGATTCTTTTGGAGGCACTAATTGAGCAGTACCGTTGTGTTTCGCTTTGCGACTGAAGCTCGTTGTACCGTTGAGCCGGGCTCGTATGATGATTCCCTGTGTTCTACCACCTTTACCTTCAGTGCATTATCCTTTCCTGATGACAGCATTCTGAGTGATGTAGAAGTCCTGTGATTGCAGTTGGTTTAACCGGGAAAATCACGGAACACCACTTTATACGACGTTTATTTTATAATCGCTTGGATCGGTCTCGATGTCAGATTCATGAATGATCTTGTCTGAGTAATGTTTCTCGTCCAGATGGCGATACCACAGGTAGTGAAATAGAACACAGATGGAAGCTTGTAGCATATTCTTTATTACCCAAATAGCGTGTTGATTTATTGGAAAAGGGTGGACACGGGAATGTATGTACAAAACGGTTGGTTACCTGAAACATTAACAACTTTCTTGATTGGTCGTTGGTTCAGAAGAATTGCGTGATTTTAGCCATCTTTGTTCTAATTCATTTTGCACGAGCAAAGCAGGTATCAGGGAGTACGGTGACTCCTCGACAGTTTGCACCAAACACGCAAGTCTATGCAGCTTTTCCAGGATCCGTTTTGATGTTCGGCTCGTGTATATAGGTAGAAGAAGCGTTGCCGCGGTTACTCCAAATGATGGTTTGGGAACAAAGAAAGTAGACCTCCTCGGCGGACTCAAGCGTGCTTTACGGGAGGTGCACTTCAGATAGAAATGACCGTTATTGTCGTTTGACACATGATAGATAATGGAAGCATCATACAGTGAAGATTGCCATCAACAGAAAAACACTAGTAGTTTTATATTGGATGCCTAGATGTACTTTAAATACCGTTTGTAAACCGTATAGCCTCGAAGTTGTCCCGTTCACTTCTTGAACCCAGCAATCTAGTCGGTTCATATACAGTCGGAAACAAACGCCTTTACCTAATAAGAAAGTTAAGCAATCAGAATGAAGAGAGTGGAAGAGTGGACAAAACAAGGCGAAGAATCTGTCACCGTGTGATGACAATACCGATTAGATTAGAATATCGTTTATTTATTTGGACAACTTTCACTTTTGAAACACCTGGGTCAAAGTCGAATGTGCTAGTCTCGTTCTGATACTGATGATCCATTCCATTCTCTCTTTGTACAGCCCGCAGTGCCCTTACGATACGTGGGAACACCAAGTGATCAGCCTGGGTGTAAGTTTTCCTTGTTTTATTTCCACTAAACGCGATTGATTCCGGTTCTTTTTTGTCCAAGCGAGCTAACAGGAATGGGTTCAACCTCCTGTTCCGATTATCTAACCACACATGTTGTTTCGTGCCCCTCTCATTCCCGATCTGGATTATCTGTTGTGCTGATTGTGATGCTTTTCCTGTCCGTAATCATTGCCATACCGTATGCACATTCATTTAGAACGCTACGTTCTTCCGATCCAACTCCCCATTTTGTGGCCTCATTGTTTGTTTCTCTTTACCTATTCACAGAATTGCTTACATGAAATTGACAGGATCCAAGTACTGTAAATCATCTAAAAAGATTTTTGGATTTATTAGCAAAGATTTTTAGGCCCAGTTGGAAGCTTCTGTCGGGTAGTGATTTATTGGATTTCATTTATTTGCTCTCTCCTCTATGATCTTCAGTTCTCTCCTGGTTGTAGATGCTTGATTCGTTCGGTATTTATACTGTTGAAATCATGTCATTTACTTGTTCATCTACAATGATCATTCCAGTTCCCGTGTTTTGTCTGAAGTTTTCGTTGAGTTGAATAAATAGTGACTAATATACAGGTATCCCTTGCTGTTCTTGCGTTTCACTTTTTCGGTTTGTTGTTAATAATATTTTTTTATATACGCTTCTTAGGTCCAGACGTCAACGAACACTTCACCGCTCGAGGACCCTCCGAGCCAACTACTTTCCAACCTCATCCTCCTAGTCGTGGTCAATGGCCACAGCCTCAAAACGAACCGCTTGCCGCCCGCACATCCAACGAGTCCGATCAAATGCGACTTCCTAATCGCGTAACCCCAACCGGACCAGTAGAGCCAGTTACTCTAGGTCAGGGTACGTATCGTTCCTGTTCACGCGCGAATGATCATTCTGAGGTGTTTCATATTTGCATATCAGACTCCTGCAAGAAATGTTTTTCCATTTTAATCTGATGTAACCGAAATTTTGTGAGAAACTGATAACCCAAAAGTCATTTACCATCGATACTAGAGATAAGTTTGTATGAGAGTGCAAATGCAGGTGATTGTTTCGTGTCTCTGGGTTCATCAGAACTCGAGTTGAATAAGACGCGAGGGAGTTATTATAAATGTTTATCTTAGCAGTAAGATGCTCAGCGAAAGCTACTTTGATTGGTTATCATGATGCTTGGGATTTCCAACTATCTCGTGGGTTAAGTTAAACAAGAATCGATGTGTTGAATGACAAGTTCAGTGAGGCTAGGATTGTTGAAGGATAAAACACCACCCATGATAGTTACTTCAGGGTTTAGTGTTCTAAAGGTCTGTATTTGAAAACTGAGATAAGTTGGAACTGAAGCAGACAGGAAGCGTTATAGAAAAATGCAAACAGAAATAATTGGTTGTGGTGTTCAAAGTTATCCCGGTTTGCGTAGTTTTCACGTACACTATTGATCATGAGGTATCCACTATAAAGTAGTCTCTAAGTCAACAATCAACGACTTTTTTATCACACACTGTGATAAAAAGTTCCGGGATTTGGAGTGAACAACCACATAAAACCCCGCTAGGTTAACTGTAGTTTTAAGTTGGATGATTGCGACGCAATCCATCATCGAAGTTTGGTAGTTTTTGGGGCTCGGACCACAGGGCCAATGACAGCCCTTAAACTGCTAGACCAACTTCACTCAAGCTCAATTAGAATTAAAAATTCGATGTGACAGAGTCAGTTGGAAAGTGAGAAGAGTTGAAAGTTAATCCAAAACGTTTCAATGGGTTCAATTTGGAACACAATTTCGATTTGAGGTGTTCTCATTAGATTTTCTTGCACCAGGATAATCGAAAATGGATTGATAAGGAACGTACTTGGTGCATTTCAGTACCTCAAACGAGGACGACACTGGAAAATCGAGAAAATAAGTAGAAAATTGAAATCGGAAAACTAACAGGACTTCCAACCTTGGTTTACCGAATTTGGTTGTGAGCGTAGTTCAATAGCTCGATATCCTTGTAGTCGACCGTTAGTCCATTCCATTACTCAGTGGGCACGAATAGCGTACGGTAAAACTTGTTCAGCTGAACAACTGTCCTGTATCGAATCTATAACAGATTGACTAACCTGGAAATTCGTCTGTCGTGTTTTTATGTAATCTTATCAAGTAAAGTTCGTCGGTAAAGTCGGATTCTCTTATTTATTCCGAATAAATTTGTAGATTCTTAATTTTCTGTGCCCCGTGATCGAATGTACCTACTCATGAGTAGTGAGAGTATCAAACACTTAAATAAGCGATGTGCAACTCATGATACTACGTGATCAAGTACAGTCAATCTCCTGCTATGTCGCACCCCTGAGGAGTCGTTCGGGACGACCATTGACCATCCACCCTGAAATGTCGCACTCAACCAACGGCGTTTCACATAGTGTGAAACGTTCATGGCACTGTTCGCTGATTGGATAATCCTCGCGAGGAAGTCACATCGATGCAAGTGATCGGAGACGGTGTCATTAGACGTCAGAATATGCAAGCGTCTATCGATCGGAGAGAAGCAGAATGTGTTGGAAATGCTGAAACTGCCAGGTTTAACTCGGAGCTCCGTAGCCAAATCACTTGGAATTTCACGAAGAAACTGTCTACAATGTTGTATCCCATCGAACGAATATCGGGGATTTTTTGAACACTGGAGCATCTGATGGAAGATGCCACCTGAAAACCAACGAAGAGTTCGGTTGTGGAACGATGCACCGTGTGGGAGATTCGGAATGAAACAGTTCAAGCGATGATGACACTGGGCTAACTTTTGACTCGTCCAAGATACACGCATANGCGAACCGAAGGCCATAGACGCCAGTCTACAGGAATAATGGGGTGCGACTTAGCAGGAGATTAACTGTATGCATATTTCACATTTGTCTGAGGGCAGACTGTGTGCCAAGCAAATCATGGTACGATAATCTTTATAAAAAGAAAAACGTTCCATGATTGGCTTTTCGGCTGAATACTGCCAGGTTGCCCAGGCCAAGGCAGGTGCGCGATCAAGTCAAGTCAAGTAAACCTTTATGCACCCAATAGGATGAATTTCCATTCCAATGGTCGATATATTCGTGACCTACACGTATCACGCTTTATTTGCTCTCATCTTCAACCCAAGCCGGAGTCGGGTGAAATTATAAACCAAAATCCGTATAACTATGCGAGGACAAAGAAGCAAGAAGCCCGCCTTTGTAATCTCTTTCAGTTTTTTATTCCAGAATATGCGCATTATGTCACGAGAGCACACGTTCAGAAGTGAAAAATTGTTTTCATTGATCCAGCTTCCAGCCTGNGTAGATCATCTTTAAGGAACTGGCATGTTAAACGAGGATAGACATTTTGTCATTCAAATGTCACGGTGACTGGTTGGGAGGGAGGGGGTGTGGTGTGAATGGTGTGACGGGTTTCACCCCACTAGGTCGCCACAACACCGCAATGAGGTTGTGGTGCGTCATCCGTGCGATAGACCTTCGACCAAAGCAGTTGTATGTCATGGGTCAATCTCTTTTGTGTACATAGATTGAGTGTGAACAAACGATCGCTTCCGCAGTGGCTAGGGTGTGGAGACATATCTACTTGGATGAGTGAGCTGGTACTCGATAAATAACTCTGGAGGCGGATTCAGACCTCACTTGTTTATCTGAGTCTGCTAGGTGAGCGAGAATAGCGCTTTTTGTGACCCCTTTTTCACCGTGTTGAAGCCAGTGTGGACTGAGCTCTAATCCACGGGACAGTTGCCTCGTTGTTCGGCCAATAATGAGAACATCCAATAAAGACCGGTTACATATGCTGACCTAGTGATGTGAAACTCACGCATCCCTCTCCCTCCCAACCAATCACCGTGATTTCTGAATGATGGAATATCTATCCTCGTTTACCATGTCATTTACTTATATGATCTGTACAAGTTAAAAGATAAATCAATGAAAACAATTGTTCACCTTTAAACGTGTGTCCTTGCAGTTTTTATTTAAAATGAAATCCCAGAAATCAAAATGATTGGTTATACTAAACTGAAAATTTTACAAATCTTTTCCCTTAATTCCTGATTGACAGCATCCAGCGAATTTCCCACAGCTGCACACCCGATTCGAATAAGACCTTATTCCGGTGGCGGTATTCTGGAATACGGTAAGTTCTGTGACGCTGCAGTTCGGTCCCGTCACAATTGTATCACCACCGTAAACTTACTGCAGACTTTTCTAAATTGATTGCTTATGACCTGCCTGCTTCTTTTGAATTCGTAATTTTCTGTGTTGTCCTAATTTTCATTCTCGTTCCCTGTTCCTCAAAAGCGGCCAATGTTCCCAATGGTGTCGTTTGTGGGGGTGTTTGGGCTGCCGCGGAATTCTCGGATGAACAACTGATGGATGTAAGTTTATCGATTGCGTCATCCTTGGTTCCAAGTTTGTATTTTTCACTCTTCGGGTGCACAGTTTCACAAAAAATAACTGTACTCCACCCGCGAGTAACTCGCATGCTATATCTCTCGTCTGTGCTTGCTCTGCAGTCGCAACACAATGAGGCAATCAAGACCATTACAATGGTTTTGGAACTGTGCGAACTACTCAGTGAGCTTGCTGAGCGCCGCGCCTCAGTCTTATCCGATTGTATGGCTACTCCGCTGCCAGAGGAAACCATACACACTTCATCGAATTCCGCAACTGATCAGGACAGTCAAACTGAGGCTCCTGTTGCTGAGTCCGATACTACCACGGATACGTCAGATAATACAGATGCTCCCACCGGCGGTCTCAAATTCCTCCCCGAAGCTCGGAGGTATGTACTACCGTCACTTCTGTCGCCATTGTGTGCATGTGCTCTTTTCTATCTGACATGTTACTTTGTTCACTGCGTG